TATATCGTTCAATATAAGCGTTTACTACTACTTGAGAGCGCCGCTTTTATAGCAGCGCCACAATCTGAACGAGGTAAAAAAATTATTTTTTAAAATGTTGTACAAGATTTTTCCAATAGATAAAATGTACAATCAACTCAATCTTAGTATTAATTACTCATAATCGACTGATCAATTTAAGTCTTAAGATTCATTTTGCAAGTACAGTTTTTCGACGCAAGAATTTGCTGTTAGTAAAGCAAGTTCCAAAATGTTTTCAAAAATTAAAACAAATTGTTTTTCTTCAATTAAATCAGTATAGTTCTATCCCTTTCCCATCTTTATTTTTCTCTTTAATTAGTATAACGTATGATGATTTTTATTTTAATTGAACCAACAACGACACAAACACTCAAACAAGTCAGTTCATTTAACCGTCCTGTATATTGTTGTTAGAAGAACAATAAGAATTTCCTTTACTTTTGCTTTCCATGTCAACAGCAGGTAATTTTATTTAAAACGATGTCTTTAAAATGGAAAAAGTTATAGTTTAAATAACAGAATAACTCTATAATAATAATATTCTWACTTAGTARACGATGCCATAARAATAGAAGAAACATACACGGWAATTGTCAAGTTCTATTGATTATTTAACATTATTTATTTGCTTMAACTGCAACTTAAACAGTTATAGTTTTCAACCGAWTGTAAATTGTMAACCCAAGACTTKCCAGGAACGAATTTTTATACAGTATTATTGTSAATCTTYATTAACAATTTKAAATAAAATKAAATTTTTCTAGAAAACACTCCAAAAAAGTTCTGCMGTTCATATTTTCAAGTTGCTCAAAAAARGATAAATKAAAATATYAATTCCTCATAAACGCTAGGAAACTCCAGAAAATWGTCAAGTTCTTGAAAATTWATTWTTTCTTTCRTGTYAATTGATTCTCTTTACATTGATTYGATCAACAAGAATGAAAAACACCTAAACAGCCTTMGTTTCAATTAATKCTTCTTTATATAAATAAGTTGAATAAAAACAATGATTARATCACGGATAAACATTTGCGAAATATTATTTAARAWTTCACTGTGTAAATTGAAGAATTCAGAAACATGRRAGACAATAGCAAAATTTTTCAAAAAGCCGGCCTAAAGTTAAAACAGAACACTAACGTAGAAGAAGTGAATACACAATAAAGACGGAAATTTTGGAGAACAAAAAYRTGTATAAAGAAATTATTGTAGCAATGCGTAGCACTCCAAAGCATTTTTACTGRAGTGTTTTCGTTTTGAAGTATGCRAAAACAATCTCATATCTCAAAACCTACTTAGTAGCTTAATCACACTATTTTAAGAATCATTCTTCTATAGTAACTCATGCAATTCAAGTAATTGCTTAGAATTGCAACATGATGTGGATAAGTTCGTTAACTTTCCTTTTCCTCGCTTCCTGGTACGTGCAGTTACATTTCTGTACATATTTTAGAATTAAAATTTCTATTTATTCTTCAGTGCTTTGGCTAATGATGAATTAGGGGATGCCACCAAAATTTTTCCCGACAATTTCTTCATTGGTGTCGGTTCTGCGGCATATCAAGTGGAAGGCGCCTGGGATATAGATGGAAAAGGGCCTAGCTGGTGGGACTATTATCTGAACCAAGGCATCAGTAAGTACAAATCGTTAATCTTCCGAGCAACAACAATAAGGAAAATTAATTAACCAGTATTCTGATTGAAGATGAAAGAGCTGCTAGTTTGCGTTATAATGAAAAGCTTAACAAGGGTTATTAAAAGCGCATTTACACTATAAAACAATGGTGTGTAAGCGTGGAAAAGCTTCAACTTCTGTTCAGTTTAATCAGGAACTCTAAACGTTGGATTTGGGTTTAAAAAAGCCCATTAAATGGTACTTATTATGCTTTACTTATATTGTAAATTTGGTAGAAATATTCTCCTATTTTTTTAAATCTTACAGATTTTTGTATGTCTTTATGTACCATTCTTTCCACTGTTAGTTTGCTTTAAATTTTTTTACATCATCTACTTGAGCAATAATGCTTCCAGGCTTTTTTATAGCTTGATAGCTGGATAGAACAAAACTGTGCTAATTTATTTAATATTGTATAAAAATTTCAATTTCAATCTTAAAGACTTTTTACTCCGATTAGATCATGAGAAACAACATTCGGTTGATGTTCATTTTACACATTAATTTGACAATTTTATGCCTTAAATTTTATTCCGAAAGTAAAATGTTTAGGCTCAAGAGTTTCCAGTCAATGTTTCAAGAAGGCTCCAGAAAGTTTTCAAAGACGAAAACAAACTGTTTTTTTTTTAATTAAATTTCAATGGTTCCTTTTTCACTTTTTCTTAATACTATTTCAAGAAGTTTTCCTTTTATTATGTCAAGAGCAATAGAAAACATTTCAACAACGTGATTTTGAGTTAATTTAACTGTTTCGAATAGACCATTCTGTAGATTGATCTTCTTACTTTTTACTCGCACTTTCAATATCAATAAGAACCTATTTAATAAAAAGCGATATCTCTAGAGCGCAATAAAATAAGATTTAAAATAACAGAATAACCAAAAATTTAAAAAAAGTTTGACAAACGTTGCAATAATAAATATATACTCTACTTCTATAGATTATTTAATTTAATTTATTTTCTTAATCTGCACATCTTGAAACCCCTAAGTCTTGCCAAGTAAGAAGTTCATTTACGATGTTTTGTTATAAAATTTAATTGAAAACTTTAGTTAAAGCAAAAGGATTTTTTTAACGGATTGACTTAATGTTGTGTAGAAGTCTAAACGGTTTTGGATTGAATGTGTGGAAAATTCCAATTATTTTTCTCAATTTTGCAGCTTCAATAATAAAGCAGTTAGCGACAATGTGGTTTAAATAGCAACGTCCTGTAGAGTTTCCAGTTATTATCTAAAATGGCATGCCATCAAGACACTTTCAAGTGCGGCATTTACATCAGTTCAATATAAACAATTTAAGTATAGATAAGCAATTGATTGATGGAAATTTGCAATTCACTGTGTAGCTTAAAATATATTCAATATATACTTGAAACTGAAAGGGAAAATTGAAGAAAATAATTGATAGGTATATTTATAATAAGAAGAAACACATGAATTTATTTCAAATTCACGCGGCCATTCATTAACAATGAGATATTCAAACGCTGAAAACAAAATCAATTCCTCAAAAGAAAACAAATCATGTTTCACGAAAAAACATTAAAACCTGAAAAAATCAATAAAGCTTGTTGGTATATATTTAATTAAAATATATCATTCAGTTCATCATGTAATTCATTCATAGGTAGAACTGCAGATGGAAAGAATGGCAACGAAGCGGCCGATCACTACCACAAATACAAAGAGGACATTGACATCATGAAGAATATTCATGCGGAATATTACAGGTAAATTTCGAAAACATTAACCAAGAATATACTATATATCCGAGTTTTTCTCTCCAGATTCTCAATTTCTTGGTCTCGAATTTTGCCTACTGGTTTTGCTAACGAAACCAACCAGGCTGGCATCGACCATTACCTGGATGTACTCAGGGTAATTGAAATTCATACTAATACAGGGAAATTTTACCTAAACTAGTATTTTTTCAGACACTTAAAGAGAACAATATTAGTGCAGCCGTCACGTTGTACCATTGGGATCTTCCAGAAAATCTGGAACAGTATGGGGGCTGGTTGAATGAGCAAACCGCCGTTTGGTTTGGAGAATACGCCAGATTGGCTTTCGAACTGTTTGGGGAATATGTCGACTATTGGCTCACAATTAACGAGCCTCACGTATTTTGCCTTGGAGGGTGAGAAATATTTTATAAGTATTTTAACGTGGTGTATGAAAAATGTGTCTTTTACAAAACGAAAGTTTCAGTTGCTTATCCAAAATTTTGTAGCAGAATACGTTTGATTATGGGAAAGAATAATATTTTCTGAATTAGATCGCTTTTCTTGACTTTTAGTTAGAAGTTCCGCCAGTAAGTGGGTTTTAAAGCTTTTCCGATAAAAATAAAAATACCGCTAATCGCTTTGTATCGCATTTTACGCGTTTTTTATTTGAAAAAACTCAGAAGTTAAATTCAAGCATTCGTTCCTTGGAATATATTCGAAAATTATGTTTTTAATTTTGGCATTTTTAGATTCATGAGTCCAAATTGGTTTTATTCCATGGCCCTGCTTCTCTAGCCGTTTAATTATATATCATAAATATTTATAGTGTTTTAATACAAATTTAACATAAAATTTTAATAATACGTTCAGGTATGGGTCCTATAATGGAATGGGCTTTATGAGCCCGGGACAAAGTGACCCGAATGCCACGAAGATTTACCAGTGCAGTAAAGTAGCTCTTTTGGCGCATGCTACTGCTTATCACATTTACGATGAAGAGTTTAGAGCTAGGCAAGGAGGTACGGGAATCATTGAATTTTAAACATGTCAAAAAATTTTGCTATTGGAATTTATAGGTAAAATCACATTGGTTACCGACAGTTCTTGGTACGAACCAATTTCAAACGACACCAAAGACTTGGAGGCTTGGGATAGAGAACTTCAGTTCCAGCTTGGTAAGGATAAGACTTGATCTAGCACGACACGCTGCACAATTTAAAAGTATTCTATTTATTTTGAATAGTTTCGAAGAAATTGAATAAAGACCAGTGGCGGCTGCTAGTAAAAATGATAAAATATTTTTCAATAGGTAGCATCGAAAGAACTGACTACAAAATAATAATATCTAGAGTTAAAATAAATTACAAATATTCTCCAAATTTCTGAATTTATTCTTTCTGGGCCGGTAAACAATTTTATGCAAACAACAAATCAAAATTGATGTTGCTTAATTTTGTAATTTTCTTATCTGCATCAGCGAACAAATGAAGACCATTTTATTTTACAAGCCAGCAAACTTCATGAACTACAGAAATGACCGTGTTTATTAAAATATTCCCTAATACCCTTTTCTCCCTGTCCACAAAAGAGTATTACTTTGAACTATATAAAATACAAATATTTACGATTTTATGTAAATAAATAGTCATTTTTTCTGTTCTTTAATTTTTGTATTTTGATCATCTGCATACGTGAATAATTGAAGGCACCATCTTACTTTTCAGGCTAGTAAACTTCATTAACTAAAATGAGAGTGTTTATTAAAAAAGTTTCTTAATACCTTTCTTTCTTTCTTCCCAGTCACAAAAGAGCATTAATTATTTTAAATTATATAAAATACAAATCTGAGATTATAAAAAAATATATACTATAATCAGAACAATTCTGCTATTTGGCGTTTCATTTAAATAATCTTCTAACTAGACATGAATATAGTTGCTTCAAATTACCAAGTTTTACCGTAAAGTGTAAATTTCATTAAATTGATTGATTTCATTAATTAAAAATTATCTTGGGGTGGCAAGAACCAACTACACATGGAAAAGGCATAAAAATGTTTTTTTTAATTAAGTTAAAATTTAATTTTAAGGTTGGTTTGCACATCCAGTATATCTGGGAAATTGGCCACAAGTGATGATTGATCGAATTGGGGAAAGAAGCAAAGGTGAAGGATTTGCAACCAGTCGATTACCAGAGCTCAGCCCGGAAGAGATTGATTTCATCAAGGGAACTTTTGATTATTTTGCTTTGAATACGTGAGTACCATATTGGAAAAATAGCGCGTCTATTTTGTTTTTGAAACATTGACTTTAAAAGTGCGTTTAGTTTGCTTATCTGGTATGAACCAAGAAAACAATTGGATTTTTCAATGTTTTAACAAAAATCCAATTCAAAAAGTAGGCAAATTATGTTGCAAATCAGAGGTCAAAACATACACAATCAAAACAAGTAGCATACACAATCAAAACCATCCGAAGTACTTTGTCAGCTAAACTTTTCTCCTTTAATTCAAGTTATTCTGCATTCAATTATTGCTTTGATTTCTTATACATATTTTCATATTTCATATTTAATTAAATTTAATGTTTTTTTCCAGTACAGTGAATAAGTTCATATACTTAACTTAACTTAA